GGCCCCTCGAGCGGCACGGGCCGAGCCGCCGCGGCGCCGGCCGTCCCACCGACGGGGAAGCCTTACCAGCCTCGAACGTATCCCTACCCCTAAGATTGACACGCCAAAAGGCGACGACAATCTTAGGGATTGGGATCCCTAAGATTGGCATCGTGATGAGGAGGTGCCCAGCGCAGGGATAGGGATATGTTCCAGGCTGGTAAAAGCCGGCCGACGGGCCCACCGGGAGGGCGGTCGCGCGGGCCATCTGAAGGGGGGTGGGGTGGGGTGGCGGCGGCCGAGGGCGACGGAAGGGGCCCTGGGACGCACAAAGAAAAACACACACACACACACACATCACAGGACGCCCCATGTTTTCCCATGTTTTCAGGGCTTCTGTCTGCCCCCCCACTTCCCATATTTTCCTATATCTTCCGGGGGATCGACGATGAATTGTGTCTGTGAGTTGTTTCCCCTCCTGGGCGACGCCCTCCGGAGACTGGGATTCCAGGCGCGGGGGCGCTGGGTCCGGCGGGCCAGCGGGCGATCCGCATCCCGTGCAGCCCCGGGCCGTGCCAGCCTGCATTCTGGATGCGCGGCGAGACGGAGGGGGAGGGGAGGCTGGGGAAACGGCAGCTGGAGGAGGGAGAGGAAGAGGATGGATGGACAGCGCCTTGAAAGGTCGGGAGGTGACAGCACCAAAAGCTTGTGGGGGGATCGACCCGAGTTAAATAGCCCCAGAGGCCCTTGCCTCCTCTTTAGCTTTAATCCTGGCAGCAAGAGCCGCCATACGCTGCTCATACGAGGGGCCGAGGGAGAGTCCGAAAACGCTCGCGGGACTGAGGTAACACACAGCTCGGGCTTATCGTTCGTATCGCAGGCAACATCTAACTGTGCAACAGGCAACGCCTTGTCCAGCACTTCACGAATCTTTGTGTTAGGGCCAAACCCCCGCCTGAAACGGCTGAGGACATCCAGTCCCTTACGCGTAGGCTTGCCACAGACCTCAGCGAGTTTCACGGCTCTCCCTTGAGACCAACCCCCGCATTTCAAACACAGAATCTGCTGCTCTCTACAGGGCCCCAGGACAGCCTCCGACCGCGGAGCCTCAAGAGCCGAGCCCGACACGGCGACGAGCTGATGCCCCAGGGGATCACGCAGCAGCTTCTGGAGAGCAGGAGGCGGACCCCTGCAACCGAACATGGGCCTATCGGGTCGATCACACACCGTCCAACAATACCTACACTGCATCCCAAGTTCGGTTCGCCTCCAGAGGTGTCAAGTCTTCTGCTGGCGGCTTCTCCCCTGGGTGTTGGAAGCAGCCCTCTTCCAACGCACTTCGTTTTTTAAAGAGGAGAAAAAGTGCAGTAGCAAGCTGTATGAACACATCAGCTCGCTTCTGATACAACTCTACACGATCCAAAAACGTGGGCAGGGGCCGCGGGTGGCCCTCAAGGGCCTGCTTTGCGTGCTGGTCCACAGCACGATTCGCGAACCCAAACCTACGATCTTCGCCTTCTAACTCCTCGAGAGCAGACGTCTCACGATGGGCCTTTACATGAAAGGTCGACAGGAACTCCGTTCCTGCTAGCTCCTGTGCAAAACGCCTCGCACCAGCATAGTTATTAGAACCAGCTAGTTGCTTCCAAAGAGGCCTCTGGGTCTGACAAATCACAGCTTTACAATCCAGGGCCAGGGAAGTGGGACGATCAGCAACCTGCCCGACTAGGGCCGCCCCCGCATGTTCCGCCATCGCAGGGGTTCGGGGGGGACCGCCAGACACAATACCCCTGAGGACTGCCAAGAGAGACTCAATGCCTGGCTCCATGAGGGCAATCGCCCACGAAACTCGATGGAGGCAGCGAAGGGCCTGCTTTGTGCAGCTCCCGTCCGACGCCATCTCCAGTTGTTCCACGTCTCCTGCGAGCGCCGCAAGTTCCTCAGGCTGCATATTCAAATCGGCTCCTGCGCCGTCAACAATGTCACAATGGGAGTGCGAGGCAGGAGGGGGCACACCATCATCAGAAAACGTAACAAGCCCACGACTGAACACAGGATCGTCGCTGTGTGCCCCCTCCTCTCAAATTTCCGACGGGATCTCAAGTTCCCGTCGGGCCTCCAAAACCTCTGGTCACTCACAAGTGTACAGCCTATGATGCAACGTGTCACGCTGGCCGCACATGCACATGCCATCGGTTAAGTAACCAGCGTCGCAAGCACGAGCCTCCGTCCAAATCGCATCCGTGACGCAAAGACCAAAGGAGGAATTGTTGCTGGCGGGTGTGCTGCTTACTACGCGTACATATACACTTGCGCACAAGGTCGAACGTTGAACGCATGCCCTGCACCAATCCAAGTCTGCGTGCAAAACGAAACTCAGCCTCTCGTTGCAAACCTTCTCTGAGAAGGTCGAGGAGGAGGCGAGGCGGGGTCTTGCTTAAATCTACAGTGCACCCCCAATGGTCTATCCACTGCGTCCCTGACACCACTTTCCAGCCAGCACGACGAGCCGATAACGTGG